CCAGAACTGCAAAACAAAATAGAAAGAGTAAAATCTCATCTTTGGCATCCCTATCTTGCCCCCTTGCGCCCTTACACCAAGAACCTTAGCAACATCTTGGCTAAGATATACAAGTCTACGAATATATATATGTGTCGAAACAAAGTTTGGTTTATCTAGTTGGCTCAAGTTAGACTGACTATTTGAGAAGAAGAATGATACCCAAGAATCATGGGGGTAGTACATTTAAGAGTTCATACTTCATACTCTAGAATTACGTTTCCTATGGTCAACTTTATTTTCCTTTTGTTCTGTTCTTAGAATCAAAAAAAGAATTGGGTATCAATTGTGTTGCAAAGTCAATTATACATTTAAAGAAAACGAGGCTTAACAGGCTAACAAAGAATCAAGAAATCAATTGGAAATCGAAATAGGCCTAAAGTTGACTTGGGAGTTGCAAGCAAGCAAACATATACCTATAAAAGAAGGAAAGAAAGAAAGAAATTCATGCATAGACAAAAAAATGCATCATTTTTCTAACCAGATGGCCATAAGCGTAGACAAAGCTAGAGAAGGGTGTTTGATTACCTTTTGGAAATCTTGGGCATTTTTATACTAACTCAACTCCCTCAAATATGAACTGGCCAAACAAGCAAACTTTAAAAGTCAATATAGGATAATTTTGGAAATCTCCCTTGAGGTTTATGACAATTTCACTCAATTCCTCTCAAATTTTGAAAATTACGCTAACCTCCCTTGGTACAATAATATAACTATAATGACTTGCACCTAATATATGATTCACAATATAATGCAAGGACTGCCTGTTCTCTCTTTCTTAATCTCACTCTGTTCTCATCTATCTTTCGACTCATCTCTCTCTCCCTCTTTCCTCTTTCATTGCACAGCTCCCTCTCAATTGCCTCTAACAATGCCTACCACTACTACCAACCATTTCACAACTTATCCCTCTAACTATTTGCGTGTGTATATTTTTAATTCTTCTTGTCTTCCCTTTAAAATTAATTTGATTTTCCTATGGAAGTAGAGGTTCTCTATATTTAAGATATTAATATTTTTGGAATTTGGTGCTAGGTTAGATTATGTTGTTTTGATATGATCTCCAACATTGGATTTGAAGTTTGGGGTATGATTCATTGCAAATGGAATTTTGGTTTTTGGCAAAATGAATTTCCTAAAGATCTAAGTAGTCATAAAGATGACTTTATTCTTTTAAACCTAATTAATTCCTTCCAAACCCCGGAAACTCCCCTGAGGATTTCCTTGATGGCTACAATATGGATCATGTACGAGAATTTGTGTAGAATCAAACCTTGGCATCCTAAGCTAAAGATTATGCAAACATGGGCAGCTGATTATAAGTTTGACCATTCCTTGGGACCCATCAAATTTTGCTGAAGAAGTGAATGATTTTTTCAATGTCGAATGCAGTTTAACATGTGGGTTATGAGAAGCAATTTTTATGACTATGTTGATGGAATTGCTTGGATTGATAGTATTGTTGGTTTGGTGCAAATAGAGAAGAAGGTGATTGATAAAGTACCTTTTCTTGTTTTGTTATTGTACAAAAGGGGTAGTTTAGGATTTTTCAGAAAAAAATCTAGCATGTTGGGCCTATATTGTTACATGAACAATAAAAACAAGAGAGGTAGGTGTAATTTAGGTGTAATTTATAAAACTTGAGGAGAGCTCTTTGTAATTGTTAAAAACCTCAGAGGAGGTTACAAAAACTATTCCAGTCAATATTTACAAAAGTTAGAAGACCTCACAGAGCTAAAACATCATGAAGAAATATTTGGGTTAATTGCAAAAAACCACCCTCAACTATCCCATTTGAACTATACTCCTTAATCTACTAATTACAACACTTAACTACCCAAAACTTTTAGTTTCTAGTAGATATTTCAAATAAAGTTGGAAAAGTATTTGAGTTCCAGACTTGCCCTAAACAAAAAATCGAAATGCCAAAGCATACCCAATCTTCTTTATGCCTTCTTCCACCTTCATAGCAGCAATCTCTTCCCCAATCTTTTTGGTTTCCTCCACACCTTGCTTACTAGCTTTGACTGCTTGGACCTTGCCTTCTCCAGCTATTCCTTTTGCCAACCCGAGCTCCAATGAAATATGCAAAACCAAACTCCTTAATTTGTGGCCCCTGTTACTTTTTCTTTTTTAATTATGCTTTTATCCACCACCAACTCCTTAATCACTAACATACAGGGAAGTGGCAAGCTGTTGGTAGATGATGTCGACAACCTATTGGAATCAATATTAGTGAAAGCAATTAATTTGGTGAGCTACTTACACTGTGATAAACTAGTACTCTTTTTGTTCCATTGAAACTGTCACACTTTCTATTTTGGATTGTTCCAAAATGTTTGTTATCTTACTAAAGTTAAAGTTACTTTTGAAAGGTTGAAATCCCAAAATGTGGCAAACACTTCGGAATAAAGGGAGTATATAGGCTTCTTGGGGTACTTAAAGTTGTGATCTCAATTTTCATATTAACTGATGGTGTTTTAGCTTCTATGTGAGATTAATTGGGTTGGGACAATATATCTAGTGGTTTTACTTCTCCCTTTAGGTGATTTCGGTGGCAATAGTGGTGTAAGGAAGTAGAGAAGAAATAGAAAAAAGAAAGAATGAGAGGAAAAACTAGAGGAAAATTAAAAGGGCACTTAGGCAATACATTTCTTTTGGGGTTAGCATAATACTTTCAATTGACAACTAATTGGTAAATTATACCCATTGAAAATGTGCTATCAATTCCTTAGTATAAGGTAGTAACAAGCTGCAATTGATAGATTGTTTGAGGAGTATAATACAAACTAGTGGTGGAACCAAGACCCCGGAGTAAGTGGGGTCAAACTTTATTATAATAAAAATTTTACAAAATGAATGAACAAAACTATAATATCACATACATATTATAATTGTTCCCTACGAGTACTCATCTTTTGGAAACATTGCAAAATCAACTCATTGTCAATTTTTTTAAATACATCCCTTTCAATATAAGTAACCAAACAATCATTAATCCATTGATCCCCTACCGTACGCAACCGATTTTTAACAATATTCATTGCTGAAAAGGTCCTCTTCACGATTGTTGTTGCAACAGGTAAAGTAAGTGCTAATTTTACAAGCAAGTATACTAATGGATATACAATCTCCCTTTTAGTCTTAACTAACTCAACTGCAAGACCAGCAATCCCTTTCAATTCTGCAAATTCATTGCTAGAGCGTACATCAAGGATATAAGTATCAAGCTGATTGTCAAAAGCCATTAGATCAACTGAAGAAAATTTAGATGGATAGAGTTTCACAAAGTGAATCAACTTTTTCTCATCAAAAGTAGAGAAACCATTATCTCGAGCAAGTCCTTAAATTCAAATTAGCAATTTAGCATTTGCCTCTATAAAACAATTATTTGACTCCTAAAGTAGCATGTCAATCACACTACAAAATAAACCTACTTTATAATGGTGTGAGTGTGTGACACTTGGACCTTCACGCCTAGACCTTCCTTTGAGAACATATGTATCATTCATATTAGGAATCTCGATATCACATTTGATACAAAATGAAATAACCTCGTTTAATAATGCATCCCATCCATCGTCTCTCATCAATTGCAATTGCTCTTTAGCAATTTTAACTACAGCCATTGCATTCAAAATGTCTTGATCCTTTCTTTGTAATGTTAATGACAGCTCATTAGTTATACCCAACAAATTTTTCATAAGATGCAAAGTAAATGCAAAGTTATATGTTTGCACACTATCCAAATTACGCTCAGCATTTTGCTCTGAAGTTGAGACATCATCCACAGTGTACTCTAAGACATCCAATATAGGCAAAAAATTAACAATTAGACTCATTAGTGTACCATAATATGAATTCCAACGAGTATCACCTAGCATTTTTGTGAGAACCCTGAAAATAGATATATAAATATCAGTGCATATTTTATTTGCATTTTAATTCTTTAATAAATTTTAGCACTAAGTCCAATTGTTTTTAAATAAGTACGTAGAAATAAACGTTATGTGCAAAATAAAAGAATTGTGCTAGACTACCAAACTTCTTAGTTTTGTTACATTAACTTCATATTTCGATGGTAAACTATTTCATGGATCTAATAATTAATTTCTTTGAATTCTAGTATTGTAATTAGTTGTTTTGAAATAAAAGTGTAAAGATAATTTCTATGTAATAAATAATATAATTGTGCCAATATTCAATTATTCGGTTTTACTATACTAAATTAATATTTCTTGAGTTAGATTAATTCTATTACTTTAAAATAAATTCTTTGATTTCCGATAACTAGTTTTAATCGATAATAATGTTAAATGTTAATAGGAATTTCCGCGTTAAGATGAAAACCAATGAATTTTAGATAAATCTGATTCTAATATACTAAACATAGTTAATGCGTGAAAATTCGATAAATATATCCTTATCCTTCTTTGTTTTCACAATAAGTGTGTAAAAATAAATTTTATGTGCAAATTGACACCCTTGGATTAAATTATTATTTCACTTGACTTTACATTACTAAATCGATAAATTTCGAGTTAGACTAACTCTAATTCTTGAGAAATAATAATTGGAAATTCTAATAACTAATGTAATCGCTAAATAATATAGGAATCACTAGGAACCTTAATATTCAAGTTTAAGCGATAATTATTCGATAAAAACATGGTTTAGGTATATTAGAGTATAATTAGGCGTTTGAATCGCGCTTGGAGATAATTTTTAGAATTAAGATGGAATTGAGAAATTAAGTTGAAGTTAGGGAGCGAAGTGTAAAGACTAAAATAGCCTTACCTTACCTTTCCATGCAAACCAAACGAGACGTCTGACTGCAAATCACATCACGCAGTTATTACCAAAATTGTACGCAAGCCGCTCTTACACGCAAACCATTCTCCTAAACAGCGGCACTTGTATCATTCTCTTTGTTTCACGTCTCAAACCACAAGACTTCCTAATACCACTCAATCTATTTCACATCTTAGAACCACGGCCCACAATATTTCTTCATACTGCCAATCCAATTCATATCACAAACCACGATACCATTTGCTCTATTTCACAATCACAAGGCACAAAGCAATTTCCTCCTCTGCACAAACCACAAACCGCAACTTCCTTTCTGCTCTGCACAAACAACTCCCGGGACAGCAGCTTCAGCACCGCACCAATGCAGCCAATCAAAATTCAATACCAACTCAACACTCAACCGACCTCTACATTCAAACATCCTCAAAATCACGGCACCATTCCTCTTCCTTTTCATTTCTGCACCGCAAACCACTGCATTTCATTTTCATCGTGAAGCATCCAAGAGCAAGGGAGGGAACGCGAGCTGCAATCTTCTTTTCGTTTTGTTCTGACCGTAAGTTGGAGGAAAGACAGAGAGAAACCGTGAGCAAAACTCCACACGTCCTGCACCTCCATTTGCACCCAGCTTCACGACTGCAACCTCAACCAAGCTGCACTTCACCTCCCAGCCGCAACTCATCAAACCAGAATCACCAACTGCACTTGGCCGAGAGCTAGAGAGGAAATTTGTGGAGTTTCGTGTGAAGGAGTAGTTGCTAACTGAGGTAATTTTCTGGGCTGAGATGTGTTGATCGGAGGTAGATTAAATTGTTTATGGCCATGCATGTGAAGGTTAAGTGTTCGGATGATGAATTGAATAAGAGGAAAATCTGATTTTGGAAGAAAATGTTCCTGCCGAGAGTTGATTAGAAATTGCAGCTTTATTTTTGTTTCCCTGTGACAATCTGAGCTTAATTATGTGTTTAACCAATTATAAACAAAAAGATTAAGCTAATTAGGGGCATGCAGGTATTGTTTATGCAGTCGGTTGATGAAATCAAAACTCTAGAAAAATCTGTTTTGGAGACAAATGATGTTGCCGAGCACTTGTCCTGATTAATGCAGCTTAATTCGGTTTAATTTGGTTGTTCTGAGTTTATAACCTTGATTAACTAGTTAATAACAAGATAATTAAGCTCTGCATGTAGTTAATTAATGGGTTAAGTCAGAAAAATAAAAATGAAACAGAAACCTGCCACCTGCATTTTTCATCCGAGACTTGTTGGGAAATTCTAGAAATTTTGGAGGACTTTTGTCGTTAATCGAATTTAATTCTTGAGCTAGAAATGTTAACAAATTAGTTAAGTGATGGCATGTTGAATTTGGGACCTTAATACTCTGCTTTAGCCAAGGAAAAAGTTGTAATAAGAACATACGATTGCTGGAAAATTTTGTGAACTGCCGTGAGGTTTGAACCTGGAAATTTTGAGGTTTATGACCATTGTTTGAATTTAATTCCGAACTGGAAGTGTTAATTGGTTAAGATAAGTTAATGCATGACAAATTTGAGAACCTAAAACCATGTTTTAGTTAAGGAAAAGTTGGATTTATAAACCTCTAAATGCTGGAAAAGTCTTGATAGCCGAGAGGCTTGAGCAGGGATTTCCTCAGTTTGTTTTGGAAATTTTAATCGGATTCTGGATTTTTATTTTATTTTTTTCCCTGGAGCTTAATGTTTGGAAGTGCCGGATTATGTTGTTTAAAAGCTGTGAGAGTGTTTAGCTAGGAAACATTTGTTATATTGGAAGATTTGAACCAAAGATGTTGGTATATAAATGCTGGAAATTCTTTTGTGATAGCCGAAGGTAGAGTTGAAATCTCAGCTTGGTTTTGAAAATTTTCTTTGAAAACATGATGGTTGAAAATGCCTGGAAAATGTTGTGTTAGAGTTATATAAGAAATGTATGGATGGTTTGAATAAAAGTCTTATAGTTTTAAAAGAGAAAAAGAAGTTTTTCACAAGTGAAAAATGAGTTTCCAGATTTTCGGAGTTCACTGACTAGTCTCAGTAAAATGTTTATATCTTGGTGTAGGGAAATCCGTTTAAGGCACCGTCAGTGGCATTTGAAACTAGAATCATAGACCTTTGTTCTGTAGAGATTTCGTATTTTTCCTCCATGTGTACTACTGTCTGTGAATTTTTAAAGTGGACTGTTTTGCATGAATGTCCTGTTTCTTTGGGAAACAGAAATTGGGCTTTGGATTGAGATTTTGGCCTACTTGTGGTTTAAATTCTTGATTAAATTGTGGTTGGCAGTAATTGATGTTGTCAAGGGCTAATGATTGATGAAGCCCTTGGCCGTTTGAATGATTTTATAAGTACTACAGGGTGATGAAAGTTAATTGCTGGAATGTCTTGGAAGTTTTACTTTTATTTTTATCTGCTTATAATGGGCTTGCTGAAACCAAGTGCTAATGATTGATGAAGCCTTGGTTGATCATTTTATTTTCTGCAGAAATGTACTTGTTGAAATCTAGGGCTAATGATTGACGAAGCCCTAGTAATTTGCTATGTGATTTTTGCCATATTTTGATCCATATTATGATTTCGAAACGGAATCGGAGCTGTGGAAGTTGTATCGACCTTGCGAACTCGAGTATCTATGATCAAATTATTCAAAAATATTTTTCCAACTAGTATTATATTATAAAACTCCATATCTAGTGTTTTGCCTAAAACTTTCCAACTCGATAATTTCCTTTAGCTCAAGCTAGTCTTGATAGCTATAGTAAATAAGTTCTATAGCTTTTGAAAACTCTAAGTCTTATTTTAATTCCTTTTCTTTCCTTAAGCTTTGCACTTGGATAGTTAACTATAGGAAAAGTTCCAAAATACGAGTTTTACTAATTTTAGTGAAAAGCTTGGGAAACTTGCTCGGCAAGAAACCCTATTTTAGGAAAAATAGTTTTTAAGGATAATTTCCGCAAAAGCCGTAACTTTAGAGGAGTGTTCAAAGTAACTTTCTAACATTGATTTTAAGTGGATTGTCGAATTATTTCGAGAAAATAAACCATTTATAAACTAGAGAATCTTTTATACTTATAAACCTAGAACTTGAGTAGAAATTGAAAATGTTATATTTGTATTTTAAAGGTCAAACTTGATTTTAATAATTTACGCAGAAAACTTGTTTGGCAAGAAACCTTATTCAAAGCAAATTGGTTCTGGTTTGCACCTCTATAAAGAAAGTAATCCTATGAAGTATTTCATCACTTTCACTAGTTTAACTCTAGGGAAATTGTTAATTTATTTGGAGTAGATAAACTGGTTATATACCAGATAACTTTGTATTTATAAACCAAGAACCGTACAACAACACTTATAGTTTTAAATTCTGGATTTCTAGGGTATAGCGAGGACGTGGAATTTTGAATCCCAGCTTGAACTCTGAACTTCACTTTTGGGTGAGTGTCTCTGCATGTTTTATGCCTACGTGGTTAAGTGCTTTATCAACTCGCTATGTGATAATTGTCAAAATGAAATAAATGGTTTCTGACCCATCGAAGTGAGCAGTGTGTACTTTATCGCACTAGCCGTTCGAGTGGTGACGTGTGTGAAACATTTTCTAATGAATCCGTGAATCTAAATGTAGTTGCGTCGCTGGGTGAATCCCTCGACTCGTGAATCCAACTACCAAACATATAAATCCGTGAATCTAAATGTAGTTGCGTCGCTGGGTGAATCCCTCGACTCGTGAATCCAACTACCATAACGTCGTTGGGTGAATCCCTCGACTAATTTTATACGGGTATATCTCGAGTATACTGCGTCGGTAGACGAAGTTCGGGCCCGAAGCAGAGGTATGAATGGTGACGGGTTAGGATTAAAATAAGTGGATCTACATGGACTATAAGTAGTGAAAGTTGACGGAGGGTCAACTACGAGGGTATCTGATCAAGCGAAGAGAATGGCTCCCGAGAGCCCCTGTATCCTACCTTGTGCTGTTATACGCTTTCCTAACTGTTCAATTTGTTTAAATTGTTATCCGTTGTTTGATTTATGTGATTGCATGTTTTGGGGCACCACTGAGCTTTAGCTCACCCCACGTTTATTGTTTTCCTTAACAGGTTCTGGAAACTAAAAGCTGGATGCTTACTTATGTTTTTCTTTTGGATTGTATTTGAGTACTATAACTTATTCTGTGGGCTGTAATGTGTTATTTGGGATAATGTATTTTCCTTTTTGGGTTGCCACTTGAAGCTGGAAAATGTGTAAACCCTAATTTGATTCTTGGTTGGTAAGCTTGTATTAGGGATTTATGTATTTATCGATCTGGTTGGGTAGGACTTAGACTTCGGTACGTAGCTCGTAGGTCGTTTAAGGGCCTCGACTGGCTAATTTATCATTGCTATCTCTGAAGTTAATGTGGATTTAAGGATGATCCTATTTGGGAAAAGTTGTTTTGTAATAGATTAGTTTATTCTTCGAAAGGTTTGGGGTTAGAATGCTTGCGCGAGTCCTGGCGAGAGTTGGGCAGACGGCCCGCCAACCCTTTGGTTCGCCTCAGGGGGAAGTGGGGTCGTCACAATTTTTAGACTAATTTCTTGATTCAAACCACGTCCATTAATGATCTCTCCTCAAGTGCTTGGTTTGCTTCATTTCTTCTTTTTTCCTCATAACATATCATGTCTTTTACATGATCCTTTAACTACTTTCAATAACAAAGAAATTGAATTGAAAAGAGAAGCAATTGGGATGCGATTCTTTGCAACTGCAACAATAGTAAGTTGAAGTTGGTAGGCAAGACAATGAGCATAAAAAGAAAAAGGATTCTCTTTAAGGATTAAGCTTTTGAGGCCATTAAATTCACCCCACATATTACTTGCACCATCATAACCTTGTCCCCCTATCCTAGACATACTCAAACCAAATTTAGAAAATAACGAATCCAATGATGTCTTAAATGCCAAAATAGAAATATCCATAACATGAACAATTCCAAGGAACGCTCAACAACAATGCTGGCCTTAGTTACATAACACAAAGAAATAGCCATTTATTCTTTCTCAAAAATATCATGTGACTCATCAACTATAATTGTAAAAAATTTGTCTCCAAGTTCATTTATAATAGCATTAGTGATCTCAGTAACAATAGCATTCACAATATCTTTCTAAATATTCGGAAAAGTAAATTGATTATTTTTTGGAGCATTTTGTAAAACCAATTTTTTTACTTCTTCATTGTGGTTAGCAAGAAACTTCAACAGTTCAAGAAAATTACCTTGATTAGTTGAACTCACAGATTCATTATGACCACGAAATGCTAATTCCTGGGACAAAAGAAATCGAATGCAATCCACTAATGCAATTAATCTTGTCCTATAAACATTTCGAACTTGATCAGATTGCTTAGACAAAGCAACTTCAATGTGTTGATATTGTTTCAACAATACTACACAGTTTTGCCAAGCATAGTTGTGGGCATTATTCGGAGGTCCAACATGCACAGCTAATCTATCTTTCTTATTCCAACTATCGAAATCTCTTGTTGTGATAGAAGAATCTCCTCCTTCTTTTTGCCAAAATTATGTGAAAACAAATAACAGTATAAACAAAAGACAACATCCTTACTTATGCTATATTCCAACCAATTCCCATATTCATTAAACCAAGTAGAACAAAACCAACATGGTACATTTCCAATTTTTTTTGGTTGGAAACTTATGGTGCCAAGGTTGAAAAGGCCTTTTTAATAACTATGCTCTTCATACTTTATCTTGATCAATTGGGCCCTTCTCAAAGATTTTAATAGTAACCTTGGATCTAAGGAAAGATCAAACAAATTAACCAAACTCTTAATTTTTTAAAAAATATTTTGCAAACCACTAGCAACTTGATCTTCTATGGATTTCCTTTTAAGAAAAATTTCCATAAACTGTTATAAATAAAAATCATAAAATAACTTAATTTAGTATTATAAACATGAATCTCAGAATTTGATTCAAAAACATATTAAGGTTGAGCACCCATTTAAAAAAAAAGGAAAAAAAGATGATAAAAAGTATAATGAGAAAATCGTTCAAAACGACCCTCACATTTTACAAAATAATTTTTTTTATATCTTACTTTTAAAAGTATAATTTTACATCCTTTACAAATTCACATTGATCAAATTTGATTCCTATCTAGGTTTCCGACTAGTTTTTTTACCGAAATCCACCACGTATCTTGCACGTAATCATTTTTAAAGGCAAAATTGTCAAGTCAAATTTTATCTAATCCGATTCATAGTCCCTCACATTTCACAAAATAAATTTTTTTATCCTTAACATTTTACAAAATGAATTATTTTTCTCTCATATTTTACAAAATAAATTTTTTTATCCCTCATATATTTCAAAATGGATTTTTTCATCCCTAATTGATCATGCACACGAATAGCATTTTTTCTTTAAACCCATGAATATATTTATTTGATTTCATATGAATAGTACGAATAACATGCAATATATTTCTATTTAATTTTATCTAAACAAGCTAATCGTAATTATACACATGCTATTCAATAAATATATACAGGGGTTTAAAACTACCTATTTTATTTTAAACCCATGTATATATCTATTTTGTGACTTTCTCATTTGGTAATAATTTATTTATTTAGTTGTATAATAAGGCATTTTAATTAATGGGTCCTAATTTGAATTCTATAGTTGTGCTAACAAATTACAATTTAAATTTAAAATTTCTACTCGCCACTTTTAAGACTAATAGTTGAATTATTTGCCTTATAATTGTTTTCAATTTGAAAGTGCCAATCACTTACTTCTTTTTGTCATACTTTTCCTTTGTTTATTTTTTCTATCCAAATTTAATTTGATATAAATAGTCGATAATGTTTAGGATTAAATGTCTTATTGGTTTTCAATTTTCGAGTAAAACAAAATGAATATGAGTGAAAAACTAACAATTTTTTTAAATTCATGTAATATCTATTTGATTTCACCTGAGCAGTATGAATAGCATGTAATATATCTCTATTTGATTTCAGATTTCGCCTGAAATCAAATAGATATATACATGGGTTTAACAAAAATTATTCGCACACATGATTAATGAGGGATGAAAAAATTCATTTTGTGAAATGTGAGGGATTATGAATCGGATTATGTAAAATTTGATTTGATAATTTTGCCCTTAAAAAATGATCATGTGCAAGGCACGTGGTAAATTTCGATTAACAACTAGTTAGAAACCTAGATAGAGACCAAATTTCACCCATATGAATTTGTAAGGGACGTAAAATTACACTTTTAAAAGTGAGGGACGAAAAAAGTCATTTTGCGAAATGTGAGGGACATTTTGAATGATTTTTCCAAGTATAATCAAAGCTAGTTTAAGCTTTATTTCTAAGGTCCAAGGTGCACTTGCTAATGCATATAATAATAGTCCAAATCCTTAATTTAGAGGAATCTTCAATATACTATTCCACATGAGGGAGAATATAAATTATAATAATAGCAACAAAACTATTGTTAATTATTTCATGGGAAAATTTCAAAAACCTCACATGAAGTTTCTAACAATTTCACTGGCCTTCCCTAAAGTTTACAAAATTGCACAAACCTCCCCGAAGTTAACGTTTTGATAACAAAATTAGTCCAATTAGAAAAAGTAACCTTAAAAAAGTACTTTAAGGAGAGAGATGAAGCTTTGATTTCATAAATACCCTTTATGCATGTACATAAGTTGTATTAATAAAAGAATAAAAATAATTAGAAATTAGAAATAATTAATACACACATTTTACCACTCAAAAATTCACATTTAATAAATTAGACAACATAAATAAGCAATAAAACTACACTAATAATCACAAGATTCATCAAAACAAACTAGTCATCTCTTTTAGCAGTGATGTTTGCCATGATTATTGTGATTTTGAATAGAAAAATTTTCAAGTTTTGTTTTTTTTTTCCTCCTTTCTCCGTTAGGTGTATCAATTGATATTATTTTGTAAATATATGTCATCATTCATCATTAAAGAATTTTTCAATAATTATTTTTGCTAATTAGTTACTAATAGTTAATTAGTGCTTTAATTACTTAATCCGTTAATCGTTAGATATTAGTAAAGGAGAATGGAGGTAAAAGAAAAGCAAAATGCGAAAATTTTTGCTATTCAAAATCACAAGAATCATAGCAAATATCACATATCAAAAGAGATGACTAGTCTGTTTTGTTGAATCTTGTGATCATTGATATACTTTTGTTGCTTATCTAATTTATTAAATGTGAACTTTTTGAGTGATGAAATTTATGAATTAATTATTTTTAATTTTTAATTATTTTTATTCTTTTATTAATACAACTTATATACATGCATAAAGGGTATTTATAGAATAAAAGTTTCATCTTTCTCATTAAAGTACTTTTTAATGTAACTTTGTCTAATTGGATTGATTTTGTTATCAAAACCTTAACTTTAGGGGAGGTTTGTATAATTTCATAAACTTCAAAAAAGGCTAGTGAAATTGTTAGAAACCTTAAGGGAGCTTTCTGAAATTATCCCTTATCTAATTGTTCCTAATCAATGTTCAAATCAATCGATCTTCAATTCATATTCAGTTCAGGTATGTTCAGTGAGCCTTAATTAGAATTCAATTTAACCATCCTTTAAATTGAGAAACCAAAACATAATTAATCATATAGTTTCATAATATCTAATTGACAAAGTACATATGAAAAAAAGATTTACTTAAAAAGGTTAAAAAAAATTAACACAATCAAACAGAAGAAAATAAACGAGAAATGAACTAAACCAAAAACCAAAAAAAAAAAAAAAGAGAAAAAAAAGGAAAAGGATAAGAATTATTACCAAAATTAGTGCAATGTTAACTTGCTAAGCGATGCTTGACTTCAATAAGAGGAATGAAGAAAATTGAAGATAGAAAGTACTCCCTTCGTCCCAAATTTAAAGTCGTTTCTTGGGACTGCAACTTTTTATGTACAGTGGACTATTATTGGCAACCGATGCTTTACTTCTAAATTTACCCTGCTGGTATTACATTAGTCAACTAAAGTTTGTGTTTTTCACCAGATATTTCCTCTTGTCAACTCAACCCTTAGTGAGGATTTTCCCTCTGAAAATGTGTCAATTTGGAGTGATCAAAAAGGTATTCTTTTCTATTTATTTTATGTTCATTGATAAAAGGCATTTTTTTGAATCCTTTCTCTTGATTAATTCTTGGTTGAAGGTAGAAGTTTCTAGTTACAAGCGTTCAATTCTAGGAGAACATAAAATCCATGAAAGTCACTAAGAACCTCTAAACTAAAATAACGAACCCCATTTGAACGAGTTTTTTCAGTAATTTAAAACTTTTCTGAAAAAAAAATATTACACTGAATTTAGTTCTTCAATTTGATCTCGACGATTCTTTGTTCATAATTTTGTGGGTCCCACCTCAATCAAATGCATCTCTTCATACGTTAAGGACATGCATCAATAGTGGCCTTATAAACTGGGAGTTGTCCTGCACACTCTTCGAACTTCTCTAAATGGGAATAAATGGTGGGTCCTATTAAATTTCTTGGGATTTTTTTACATGTGCACAATAAGGGTAAGAATGGAACTCTGGAAGGGAAAAATTTTAGTATGACTCTAATTTTGGGACAATAAAAAAGGTGAAACATGACATTAACAATGGGACGAAGGGAGTATTAACTTTAGACCATCACAAGTTCACAACAGAAGTCCGCAAATGCAATTTCAATAAAAAGGAAGAAAATACAAACTAGAATGGGACAAAAAGAAGGCGGCAAGACAGAGAAAGGTTTCTAGTCTATGTACGTTGCCTTTTGAGTTCCTTACTTTAGTGTGGGACAAGCCATCCATTTTGACATCAATTGAATTTTTTACCCCAAAATCTATTCTTTGTGGGGGTTCAAACAAGAATACCATCTATATAACATTTTTTAAAAGTTAAGTTGGGTCATTTGACCCACTTGGAGTTGGAGCCACATAACTCGGCTCCTAGTACAAACCAAAGATAGTTGTTGAATGTGATAGTTTGCATTTAACCCTTTCAGAATCATAAGCTATATAATTATGTAATTAATAGATTATTAGCAAAACTTGAATCTCGTTAGCCCTGCTCATGACTTCTCACCGGTTATGAGATTTTTTTTTGGAGTCCACACTTATCATTGTACAGAAGCTTTAACTTTGCTAATTAAAGAGAAAAAAAAAAAAAAAAAGCTCTCTAGAAATAAAATACTTGGGATTTGCAATTGTCTTTAGCATGATGTGTTGTCACAAGTTCTAAGCTCTTACAAAATTGCAATTAAATGGAATGTTAACACTACAAATGAATGGAAATGATATTTGTGCGCACACAATGATTTATAGTTGAGTTATCAAAAGATAAATTATGGAAACAAAGATCCTGTTTAGATATATATTTTATTTGTAAAAAAAAAAAAATTTACTTACATCACAAATACATTTTTCAACTACCATTTTATATTTTCAATTACTTTTTATCTCACATACACACATAATAACAAAATTACAGTATTTTTTTCAAATAATCTTCTGTGATATGTTGCATCCTGGATCGAGATGGCTTGGGACATGACAAATTCACTCAAGGTTTTGAAAGGGTTATAAGAATATTATCTGCAATAAATAATAAGAATATTTTATCACCAGTAATAGACTAACGAAAACACTTCAAACGGAAAATCGACCTTAAACATACTTCCGCTGTGCAAGTTTTTTTCACGTCTTGCTGAATTAAAGTCCAAGATCGATGAGGAGATGAATTATCTTACAGATACAATTATGAGCAGCAAGAATCTACCAAGCTGGATAAATGAAGATGTAACTGACACGTCTAGCAAACAGATCACGCAGGTATAAATAAGTTGACACAAACAAGTTAATCTAGTCAAATGAGCAAATATGCGAAGCGGCCATATTTGTAGAAGTTTGGTAGCTTCAATCTACTTTCAGATCTCGCAACAGGACGTGTGACGACATCGATATTCTAGTCAACCAGAATATGAACTTCAGACATATGATATACTCCCTTTTGAAGGGAATATCGATTTTATGAACTTCCAGTGAGCGACTTCTTCCATGGTCATGACTTTAGCATTGGACCTTCCAAAACCATGACAGAGAGGTACCAGTTGGCTGACAATGAAAGAGTGGCTCATTACTAGTTAATCCATAAATATACTAATAAAATGCAAATTAATACTGTTTGGAAGAGATAAAGGAAGGAATTACCCTTCTAAAGATTTACTTCAGTTCTCACTGGGAGGGCTCGACTTTCATTATTCCAGTTTCTGCAACTCTGGCGGTTAATGTATTTTCAGAAGTTTCCAAAGCTTTTTCCAACTGATTCTCTTTACGAAACAGGCAAGGAACCTCTGATTCCTCATGGGATAGTATTTGCTTGTTCTCTAATCTTCGAGGCAAATTGTTAGTTTGCAAGCTTATTGATCTAGATGCTTGCCTGTCATAGTGGAGGAGCTTAGCTGATAAGTTTGGTCAGGTGTCTCGACAATCTTTCCTGTGAGCTCTAAAGGCCTATGGAACAGCAGATGAGCCACAGTGCGGTCGATTGGGTTGGTTTCTGTCTCTGCTTCAGATGCCTTCAGAAACCTGTGACAAAATAGAATTGGAGAATGAATGTTTAACAATGCTCAACTCCACCATGAAAATCTACATTTGCTTCAAGTACGTTCCTGAATAAACATCACGATTTCTTTCTCTAAGCAAGAATAAACATTTTATCCAAATGCACTGACACAGTAAACAACAGTACCATCAGGACACTCATGGGTCCATGTACTGCCAACTGATAATTTCAATGCAGGATATCATTGCGTACATAACAAACTAGAGATTTCAATCTTAATGATAATCTATTCAATGCACTAACGCGGGTAAGGTAATAATCTGAAAAAATCTGCATTGGTTGTTCATTCAATTGTTCAATCATGTTCCAATTAATAACAGGATGAAGAAAATTGTCAGAGATAAATATAGTTGAAAAAAACAAAATACGCAATTAAGCATGAGAAAAATCAGAGCATACTCTGCTAGTTGAGTTCCATGCTATCAATGCAGGAGAAAAGTGAGAAATGTGAAATTGTTCCCAACTATGAAAGAACTCTTCAGTAATTTGGTATACATGCTATCTACCAAGCACTCAAGGTAACGATGTCAATGGCTCTCATGTGTGATACTGAGAACATCTAAGCTTCTCTCTCTCTCTCTCTCTCGTTTTAACTTGTCTATGTCAAATTACACGAATGCAACAAATAATGTAAAGTTACTAAGTGAAACCTTAGATTTGAGTGATACTAATACACAGTTTTGGTGTTTGAAAGGAGTTGGGAATTTTTGGAGACTTCATGATTTCTAATCGAGCTTAGAAATACAGCACTTAAAAGCATGTATGCAGTACATCGATTGTTATATAGTTATTTGGAAAGCCGCTTTGCAACTTATTTCCAAGTTATCCAGTATCCAGTAAAGCAATATAATTGATGCCTGTGAGTTAATAAATAAAACTGTGTGGTTCAACAACTTTTAGGATTAAATTATGATATCATTTCAGCAATACATATCATTCATCAATATTTAGCATGAATGGCAGTAGATTCTCTAACCTGTTGTGAGTGTTAATTTTTTCTTTGCTGAGAACTTCATGTCTGTTGCTCTTATTGCTACAGCTTGTATCACTGGCATTCTGCCTTTGACCAGCACTCTGAGCTAGTCGAAACAGACTATCCCTAATGCAAAGTCTTATCCTCATGTCCAACTGCAAGGAAATTAAGCACAGACCATGCGCATTATTTAGCAAGTAAATACATCCACCAGGAAAGAAACGAAACTGCAGTTGCTCTAACCTTTGCTACAATATCCTGAAGTTGATATAGTATTGAATCCTGGACTGAGCAATCATCACGCAGCACACATGCTGTATTGGAATCATCTTGTTCTATGGGTGAATTTGGCTCAAGAGACGCAACTGTTGAAAGGTTTTCCTCTGCTTCAATATTTTCTCCTTCCATAGCTGAATATTCAGTAGATGACATTTGATTGCCAAACTGGTGCTGTTGTTTCTGAATTGCAAGCATTGCTCTCATTTGCTGTCGCCTCCTTAATTTCTCAATCTTCTCCTGAGTCATTGTCAAAGACTTAAAAGAAGGTTCAGTAGAAGGATTCAAGTGCCCAGGAACCTCATAGCTGGAAATGGCGGGCTGCTGGCTAACTTCTCCAGAATGAAATTGCGACAAAACAGGCATAGCAGCATACTGCTTGGCCATAGTACCATGAATGAAAGAAGTCAAAAGTGGCCTAGAGTGATGCTTGTAATGTGAAGACTCTGATCCTTGAAATTGTGTCTGCTGACTGAACACCAAAGACGAGCTAGATTGACCCATATTTGGTGCATATGGGGCATCGAATTGAAGAAACTGGTTTCCAGTTTGAGTCCATCCTTGTAAATTCTGCAAATGCCTGCCTTCACTTTTTTCTGCTGATTTCTTCCTGCCTTTCAACTTCTTTTGTTTATTCCCCTGCATACAAGAAAACAACTAGAGCAACACTGATGTTCTAAAGTAAAGAAACCATTAAAAGCACATGAATAATGTACCAAAAAGGCATGATACTGAAACAACAGAACAGCTATTATATCTTCAGATTAGTATGAGATGATTTTTGTTTGTTCAGGTTCCCCTAGTCTTATTTGATGAACCTATATGACTTTCAGAATACCATTTTTGGTCTCCATATGACCTATTCGTCCTGTTAGGTAATGTTAAGAGAATATAAGTATTCCTGTAGATAATAAATTAGTAAGGGTATTTTTGTAAATAGTTTGTTAGGTTTGTACTCCTATAAATACTAGTTGGTTACTCATAATATGGTGACTAGATGTTTTCCTCCCAAAATACCTGTTGTCATGGTATCAGAGCAAAAGTCCTAGAGTTAGGGTTAAACATCTAGCAGCGAAAGTACTGTTCCGCTGCACTGTTCATCGCGGCGCTGTTCACGCCGGTACTATTCATGGGCGTACTGTTCACGCCGTTACTGTTCACGCGCACCGTTCACACGTCACTGTTCATCTCGACTTTTGACCCTTTCTTTGGTTTAAAGTACTATTCGCTATGACTAAAAGTTTATCAAAAAGTGTCAGAAGTAGAGGAGGTCGTGGAGGTCGAGGCACCCGTGAGTGCACTCATTGTGGTTTGAAGAATCACAATCGTAATACTTGTTGGGATTTAGTTGGAAAACCTCCTCGATTTGCTAATGCGGTTATCACTGACCAAACTGAATCAAGTTCTTCAGCACAAGGGTCCCAGAAGACTATTACCATATCCGAAGAAGTTTATGTTAAATTCTTACTGTACCAAGTTATAAATCACGCATCTCTTCCCTCTACTTCTTTAGCACAAAAATGTAATGACTCATGGATTATTGACTCCGGAGCTATTGATCATATGTTAGGTACCTCTAAAAATTTTTCTAATTTTCAAGAGTTTACTTCCTTTTCTCATATTACTTTGACTGATGGATCTACCACTAAAGTTAAATGACTAGGCACTATAGAAATTAACCCAACTCTTCCGGTGTCTTCTGTTCTTTACGTACCCAGTTTGCCCTTTAATCTAATATCTGTTAGTAAGTTTACAAAATCTCTACAGTGTTCAGTTACTTTTTCTCCTGATTCTGTTATCATTCAGGATTTGAAAACAAAGAGAACGATTGGTGGAGGGCATGAGCATAATGGTCTTTATTTTCTCAACTCTAATGGTTCGATTGCGTGTCCTGCTACTGTTTCTCCTCTTGAAATTCACTGTCGTTTGGACCATCAATCTCTACAAAATTTGAAAAAGTTGGTTCCTACTTTGAATCAGTTGCCTTCATTAGAATGTGAGTTTTGTCAGTTAGGAAAACATCATCGTGTTTCTTTTGCTCCTAGAGTCAATAAACGGGTTTCTGAACCCTTTTTATTAGTTCATTATGATGTTTGGAGTCCTAGTCGAGTCATTTTAAAGTTAGGTTTTAAATATTTTGTAATCTTTGTTGATGATTTTTTCAGAGTTACATGGCTTTATTTAATAAAAGATCGTTCAGAACTATATTTCATTTTTTGTGCATTTGTTACGGAAATAAAGAATTAATTCGGTGTACCTGTACGTATACTTCGCAGTGATAATGCGAAGAAATATTTTTCCACTCTATTTAATATCTTTATGATTAAGTCTGGTATTATTCATTATCCTCTTATCCTCACACTCCACAACAGAATGGAGTTGCTGAAAGAAAAATTGAACATTTAATCGAGATTGCTCGAACACTTTTGTTGCACATGAATGTGCCCAAACAATTTTGGAGTGATGCAGTTCTAACTGCATGTTATTTAATTAATCGCGTGCCATCTAATATTTTTGGAAATCAATTACTTCACTCCATTCTTTTTTCTCATGAACTTGTGTTTAAATTACCTCATCGTATTTTTGGATGTGTGTGCTTTGTTCATCAGCTTGCTCATGGGGTGAATAAATTAGATCCTCGTGCTATTAAGTATATTTTCTTAGGATACGCACAAGCACAAAAGGGGTACAGATGTTACAGTCTAAGTTTAAATCGATCTTTTATTTGTGTTGATGTTACTTTCTTTGAATCTACTTCATATTTTATGAAACACGGTATGCCTTGTGAGTTAGATCAATGTCCCTCTTTTTCCTCTCCTGTTTTACTAGTCACTTCTCCTTTATTACCTGAGTTATCTAGTCCACCAGATTCACTAGGTCGATTATCTCATCCAAATTTTCAAGTTTATTCTCGTCATTCCATGGTTGAGAAAGTTTCTGATATGCCACGCACTTTACCAATTAACTCTCAATCTTCAAATCCAGGTATGACGCCCTCCTCAGAGTTAGATCTTCCTATTGCTTTACGCGAAGGTAAGAGGCATTGCACTTCTCATTTTATTTTTAATTTTGTTACTTATTCTCGTCTCTCTATGTCATATTTTTCTTTTGTTGCTTCCCTTGATTCTGTCTCCATTCCTAAGTTTATTACCCATGCTCTTGATTATCTTGGTTGGAGATTAGCTATGCAAGAAGAGATGTCTGCTTTGGAGAAAAATAGTACTTGGGATCTTATCCCTCTTCCTTCTGGTAAGCCGGTTGTTGGTTGTAAATGGGTGTACACTATAAAAGTGCAGCCTAATGGTTCTATTGATAGATTGAAGACTCGTCTTATAGCTAAGGGATTTACTCAGGTGTATGGAATTGACTACTTAGAAACATTTTCTCCTGTTACAAAGATTACCTCTGTTCGTCTTCTTATCTCTTTGGCAGCAACTTATAATTGGCCATTGTATCAGTTGGATGTGAAAAATGCATTTCTGCATGGAGATTTGAAAGAAGAGGTATGTATGGAACAACCTCCTAGATTTGTTGTTCAGGGGGAGAATTCGCAGTTGGTTTGTCGTTTGAAAAAAATCCTTATATGGATTGAAACAGACTCCGATGACTTGGTTTGGTCGATTTAGTAGTGTTGTCATGGAGTTCGGTCTGACAAGATATGGAGTAGATCACTCTATATTTTATCGGCACTCTAATGCTGGTAAAATTTTATTAGTTATTTATGTGGATGATATTGTGATTACAGGTGATGATGTTGTGGAGATCCAAAAACTTAAATCCAATCTGTAGGCAAACTTTCAGACAAAGGATTTAGGTCATCTACAATATTTTCTGGGTATTGAGGTAGTTCGGTCTAAATATGAAATTTATTTATGTCAAAAGAAATATGTACTCGATATGCTGAGTGAAGTTGGGATGTTAGGTTGCCGACCTGTGGATACTCCAATGGACCCTAATGTGAAATTAGTAGGAGATCAAGGTGCATTACTAGATGATCCTAAACAATATCGAAAACTTGTGGGTAAATTAAATTATCTCACTATAATGAGACCTGACATTTCATTTGCAATGAGTGTTGTGAGTCAATTTCTTGATACCCCTCGTACTAGTCATTGGGATGCTGTTATACGGATTCTTAGATATCTTAAGAGTGCTTCTGGAAAAGGGTTGCTGTATTAAAGTCATGGACACACTAATATTGAAGGATATAGTGATGCAGATTGGGTTGGTTCTGCCTCAGATCGAAGATCGACTGTAGGATATTGCGTGTTCGTTGGTGGTAATTTAGTGTCATGGAAGAGTAAGAAACAAACAGTTGTCTCCAGATCAAGTGCAGAATCGGAAGACCACGCTATAGCTCACACTGTATGTGAGTTGGTTTGGTTGAAAAGCATGTTATTTGAAATTGGGTTTGAGCATAAACAGCCTATGAATTTAGTGTGTGATAATCAGACGGCTGTTCATATTGCTTCTAATCCAGTGTTTCATGAAAGGACAAAATATATTGAAATTGATTGTCATTTCATTCGAGAGAAATTGCTTGACGGAATTATTAAGACATCTCATGTACCATCTGTAGATCAATTGGATGATTTGTTTGCCAAGAGTTTAGGGGGTTTTATGATGAAATATATTTGTAACAAGTTCGGTGCTTATGATATATATGCTCCAATTTGAGGGGGAGTGTTAAGAGAATATAAGTATTCCTGTAGATAATAAATTAGTAAGGGTATTTTTGTAAATAGTTTGTTAGGTTTGTACTCCTATAAATACTAGTTGGTCACTCATAATATAGTGACTAAATTTTTTCCTCCCAAAATACCTGTTGTCAGGTAGATCACTCTATTTACTTTAAGGTAGTAATTTCAGTTATTTTGTTAAATCCAAGTAGTAATTTGACGTGATACATGAACACCTAAGAAAAAGAGAATCGACTTTAAAAGAAATTCATAATTGAAGAAAACTTCAAATTTAAAAAGGCAACTTATCATGTGGCTAAAATAATTTGAAAAAGACTATTCTAGATAATGGAAATAAGTTCTAGATTATGGTTATGCAGTAGCCTTAAAGTTGACATCGGTTCCATGGAATTATAGATCTAACATGTCACAGGAAATAGACACCTAATAACAGGTCTACTTATCTTCAGTGAAAAAATTTCAGTTTCACACATCAAAAAATTTGTGGTTTACTTTTCAAAGATAGCCAGGCTATAGATGTGGGGGAATATTGAATCTTTAAGTGATGATAACGAGAAAAAGGGTTTGGTTAAAAATTTGACAGCTGTGTTTTCAATTCTAATCACTCGAGTCAAGCAATCAATGATAAAATATTTTACTAGGTCCTTTCTGTAGAATATATGAAGATTGCTATCTCTGAAACAATAGACCCACTAGCCATTTTCGCCTCAACAAAACAATCAAAAAAAGGGGATGAAAATCTGTAGCAGTAAAACAATCTGACCTAAAACGAAAACCATCCCATGTAGCTAGCAAATACTGTTAATATGACCATGTTACTCAAATTTAAGAGAGCATAAATGAAAAAATTTAAAGAAACTGTTACGGTAATCATGTTTTCTTTTCTACTGAATATTTCTTGCACCAATAGGTAGACTAATGACATGAAGACTGATTGTACATTCCAATTGTGTTTCTTTCTGAAGCATTATCTATAAGAATCTCTGTTTTCTTTTTGGACATAATTCTAATCTATATCTATTTTAAGCAAATCCGAACGGCAACTCATTTCCAGAGATTTAAGAAATGAAATGATAAGCAATTCCATTTCCAGGTACACCACAGAAGTAATTCTTGGTTGACAGCATTTATGGTGCTGCTGTTAACAAGAATGCACAAAGCTTCACTAATGGGAAATGGAAGCCAGCTAAAGTTCAGATAATCACTTCATGTCGATGTTCCTTTTGTGTGCCAAAAAAAATGATCATTTAAAAAAAAAAATTTCATTAAAATGTGGACAGGAAAAGAACAAAGGTGGAGTAAATAGAAAGAAAGGGGTACCTTCCTAAGGATGGGAACCTCATACAAAATAGGAATTAAATTTCACCAGTAGGAAAAATATACCTTCACCATACACTCGTTAGTGACTGCAAAATTTCCTGAATCAAGCTGTAAGTTATATACTGGCTTACTTCCACTCATCTCAAAAGCTGCCTGCATTCCAAGACAAATAAATCAATTTGTTCCCAATGGCCATGTAGCAGAAATTACAATGATGCAGAAGAGAGTGGACAAAAGTCAGAGTAATGAGAGAGAAGAAAATTCATCTACATCTGGCATAGCTATTGTACCTTCTCCTTCATTGAGATATTACTGCTACTTCTGGTGTATCCTATATTTCCTGCACAAGACTTCACATCCTGCGGGACATTGGATGTCAACAAGTTTATTTTCTCATGTCCTGGAGTAAAGCACTGATTTTGATCTGACAGGTACTCTCCTTGAACATCAAAGTGCTCTGACGTGCTCCTCAGTGAGCCTAGCCCCAGACGTGGAGAGTCACCTGACATGGGAATTGACTTCTCAGGGCTGCTGGTGACATCTTTGGAAGATGACCATAGCTCATCTGCATTGACGAGGCTTCCACGTCCAAATATCGGATCTTCATTGCTGCAAAATGTCACTTGTGAGGATATCAGGTCAGATGATTACTGCCACACAAAACTAATTACGCAGTGTTATAGTCAGGCCTAGGTAAATTCAACATTGCTGACCATATTAGTAGCACAAAAATGATAAAATGTCGCACTGTGCTGCAACAGGAAATTCATTGTGCTCCTGTGTCAAGTCTTGACTTGGATAGAGTTCAACACTAGCTTAAAACAGCCCCTTCTCCTCTCATTTTTGCTTAAAGTCGGCAGATCAGGAGGGACAAAGAAGCTGCTACATTGTTGAAAGAAAACTATAAAACCAATACTACTTTGTTCACTTTGATCTTTTAATGATGGAGGGACATATATTGCAAATTCTGGACCGGAAAACACAACTTTTGGTAAGAGCACTTGAGGAATACTACCCCAAGTCGTATATAAGCATATCAGGAGTATGATGCCCTTTTCTTCTGTGAATTGCTTCATAAAGTATCCTGTGATGTTTAAACTTTATGCTCTATATTGGTGCTTCTAAGTTGAATTTATTAAAGAACCTCAGCAACAAGATGCATTTGCAAGGAGCGGACAAGCCCAAGATCTTTGTAAGCTTACTCATCAAAAGCCTTGGGAAGCTCGATGTGGGACTACTTTTATTTTCCTATATTTAACATGTGACTCAGGATTCGTGAAAGCCAATCAATAATTTGCCAAGCAAAAAGCGATTGGAATTAAATGCAACTCTCTGAACAAGATATTAGACCCTTATTCACGTAGGAGTGAATGAAGTCCAAGAAGTCTCGTGAGGCAGGAGTTAAGTCTTGAGGTATGATGAGTAAACAAAGACATTGAGTTCCAGAAGTCCTGGGGAGTAAAAGACCTCATATCATGCACTGATGAATTAAGATCAAAGGCACAGAGGTAATAGCATTAACAACAATTGAAGAATAAGAATAATAAAGAATCACATGATGGGGTATGGGTGAGAGAGAGAGAGAGAGAGAGAGAGAGAGATTGTCTTTATACCACTACAAAAAGCACCTTAGTCACACTTCATATCTGACATCCCCAACATGCAAAAATTCTGATGTTGTTAATATTCCCAATACTCACCCTCAAAATGTTCAATAGCCACAATTTCCACCCAAGTAGGATTTCTGACTTGGGAAGATTTAGAATAACTTTCTCATAAAACTAGAATTCAATTTTCTGTTTTCATGTTTCACTAATATGTTTAGCATAAACAATTCATCCACCCTATATAAATCTATCTTTCAGTGTGTAAGACAATCAGAAAAGGAATTTAACAAATACCTACAGAAAGATGTGTATTGAGGAGGTCAAGAACTGACAATAGATAGTTGCAAAGGAGGGGTTGCAACCTTCAAGGTGCAGCTATCTCCCATCATATTCTGGATTAGATATCCTTGTTTAAATCTAATACCTATCCAGATTGTCTATATAGTGACTGGATCCTTGTCCAAACTGGTTGGACACAGAGTCCAAGACAATGAAGAGAAAAAATCTTAATATGATAACAGACTGGTAAATCAAGCCTAAAGCTTGTACTGGATTTTCTACTTGATCAATTTGCGAAAGCCCACTCATGCGGATTCACATCTAACCAGGGAGAAACTAATCAACAGATGACAAAAGGGGCTAATTACCAAGTTTCTAAGATGCAATAGCATAGAAAGTAGCCGCTTTTGATTCATTTTCTAAATCAGGAGAAGCACTTGATATTAATTCAAGAGAAGAACAAAGGGGGGAAAAAGGGAAATGGAAGTTCAAAGTGTGGAAATACAAGAGGGCTAGAAAAGGTAAAAACAGGCAACCAAGCCAACAAACTTTAAAACCCAAGACACTAGCACAAATGTTTCAGATAAGTTATGAGTTACAAAATCGTCAAAATTTGGGAAAAACAAGTCTTTTCCAAAAGGAGGTGAATCATTCATAACCTATGTCATTAATCATGCATGATCCACAATAAGTACCCTTGTCTTAAGCCAGTCAATCAACACCCCCAACCTATTTAATCAAGACACTAGTATGTTACATCATGCCTGAAAATAGCATGCCTACTAGTTCTATGAGAGCTACTGTACTTAGGTTCCTGCTCTTGTCCTCATTTACCAAATAGAAATTTTTGGTTGTACATGACTCAGAATCACACTCAGACATCCCAAAACCATTATGTTAGATGAGGGAGTATTTATGGAGTAAGAGTCCACAATAAGACCTGAAAAGGATTATTCTATCCTTAATATTGAGTTTCTCTGCACTACTGCATTATAAGACAAACAAATGAAGGCCATTGCTGTGATAAATTGCTGCACCCTGGCACATTTGAATCCAGCATTCACCTTACTCACCAGAAGTTGTAGATGGTACTTATGCTCACACTTATATATGCAAAACAATGCGATTTTTACAGCTTTAGACAGAAAGGTGTCCCACACCATATACAAAAATCTGGCAAGAAGAAGATTTGTGCATATCAGGAGATGCTTAAATAGGAAAAGCTTGTTAAAATCTAAACAAGTGAGAGAGGAAGCCAATAAGTTATGGCATATGCGTCTGAACATGATGAAGCTGAGTTTCTTGACTTGCTCTCATCATCAAACACTGTGTAAAACCCTTCTCGTAAAGTGATCAAGCTAGTACTAATCTTCTCAAGACTTGTGTATTAATCCATTTGGTGAAATAATCAATCTAGTAGTAATCTATTCTTTTTAGGATGACACTAATATGAATGTGTCCTCCTAGCAAAACATTTGACAGATTTATGAGGAGTTTCCAGAAACAGCAGTGCCACACGATGTGAATATTCAAGCATTATAGTTTATACGGGGATTTCAGAGCATGAAGAGTATTCAAGTCCTTGTACATTAGTTGATTTAGTTATATCACGAGAGAGTGGTATGGGTATATTAGATTGCTCTCTTCTTATGCCTAAAGTGATCGAGTCTAGTTTCTTTTAGATGTTTACCTTGTTTATCACCAATAAAAGAAGAAAAATTGCCATGTTTGATGAAAGATACATGCAAAATACCCTGGGCAGATTCACCTTCCCAGTTGATGACACAAATATGAACTTGCAAGAAGACTTTGAGCTTGAATTGTCATGTGTTGCTACTACTTTGAATTGTATTTAAGAATTTTATGGCATTTATAAGTGTGAAAAATTAGAGTCAGTGCTCATAGATTGTAATTATCTTCACTCACTTCACATCACATGTAAGAAATTCCCCAGAAAAATTCTGCAACTACTGCAGTTGGAATTTGCTCAAGTACTGTTTCTGTCTAAAAGAATGAAATTGCCATCTAAAACTTCAATCTAGATTGACCTAAATCCACTGTTATGGTGTTCATGGAACATGTGACAGGAAGAGGGGGAGAGAGCATTATGGTGTAATTACTTTAGTACTGCTTACAAAAGAGAATAAGTAATCAAGCTAGTACTAGCTTGGCTGGTCATTGGAGTTAATCAGAGAAAAAGTATTTACACATAAAGTTTAATGTTGTAAGCAGGGAAGTATGATTTCAAGCCCTAGTTCAGGGAACAATACACAAAAGATGGGATTTCATAATTTTTTGCTGACACATCAATTCATTAATTTTATCCTCCCAGAGTCATTCTTTTTTCTCTTCATGACCTTCTGTCTTTCGATCATTTACTTTAGAGTCTGAAGAAGATGCAACATAATTATAATAGTTTTCTATTTTAGTTTCAATTATAAAAAAAAAAAAGAAGCTGTACCACCACTGCAATAGCTCAACCAAATTAGTTATCCTCAGACGCTCTTCAAACCCATGACTGGCCTTCTTATAATTGACTGTGAATTTAATCTCATCGAAAACATCATCAGAAAAAAATGGGGAAAGGAAGTGAGAAAAATAGGTATTAGAACTTCACGTGGTCATTAATTTGTTGCAGCATACTTGCAGGGAAATCAACAGAACAGAAAACTAAAACCATTGTTTCTCATGGTACATTTGACTCAGTATAAAGAGGATGGCAAAACTCCAATAAGTTTATTCGAGGTTTGCATTGGCTTCTTAAGGTTCCACCATAATTTTGCTATTTTGACTTCAGGGACGGCCCATGTTGATAGCCAAATTTGTCAGAATTGTACATGAAAATCACATCTTCTAGCAGTTTTTTGGAAAGCTGTAGCATCTAATTATGAAACTGCAAAGAGTTGAATGATCATGTCCTGAACAAAATTATTCCTCCATACTCTGCTTTAAAGTTTTCAGTTTCCATTTCTAGGTGTGAGGAGTTCCAGCCTCAAGATGCTTACCTATGGTTTAAGATGTACATGGGATGTAGTTCCACCTTTGGCAAGAAGAGAAGACTTGAAACCCAATCGCATGAACTTTGTCCACTTTTTATCGATAGAGTTCATCTTTATAATTTATTGAAAATGCTTATGCAAAGTGATTGACCGGCTTAACCTCAAGGGTTAGCTGGTCTAGAACAATAGATGACATGAATTTTGAATTTAACGTCACAGCAAAAGTATAATGTATGAGTAAATCTTATATACACTGACAGTGTATGCACTATCACCGTTGGATTCATAACATGTGTACAAATATTGAATTTCAAATTCAAATTTTACATAGTTGTCATTCATCCAACGCTGACAGTGTATACACTGTTAGTGTAAAAAAGATTAATCCTTAATTGTATGAATATAACCAAGAATGAGAGAGAATTTTGCATTACCTAAAGATCCTCTCAAGGTCCTCAAAGCTCCTAACACTAGTCCAACCATAACCAACAAAATCGCCTTGCTCACTATCATCAAGAGGGCTCTGGAAAATTTCAGAAGCATTATCGAGAGGAGCAGCCTTGTCTTCTGGGGAAATTTTGACAGTCAAAAAGTGAAACTTTATAATAACAACATACAAAGGGAAATTATCTCCATGAATAGATTATGCACTGCATCTTAAATCATGTTTGCAAATATCTGTTACATTATTGGATGTTTCAGTACCCATAGTATCTTCATTAGCTTTTGCAGCACCCGGTAACGAGAGATCAGGCCATGAGTCCGCACCAAATTCCATTGCAGGAAGATCTTCATTTGTGTCATATTGGGAACTGCATTGTAGTTTTAGTCCATGTAGATCACTTTGTGTAGCAGGTTTCTTCTGTTCAGCAGTTTTTACATCTACAGCTTCCTGATTCTTTTCTTTCTTAATACAATCTCCATGCGAACCTAGAGGTTTTTCTTCATTTGCATCTCGATATGGAACAATATGATCTTCACATTCCCCAGCCTCACCCCATATAATATTTGACAGCTGAAATGCAACAGAAAATATGTGGAATCTCATGACTTAAGAGCAGAATGCGTAGAATAATAGAAACAGCATATCTTCACTACATTGTAAACCATTAAAGTGCATATACTAATTCATGACAACAAAGATATGCATAATTGCTCAATGATATATATATATATATAGATAGAAAGATAGAGATATAGATTGATAGGTAGACACACACAGAAAAACCCACATCCACACCCCTAGAATTTAGCCTAAATTGACCTAGGGGGGACTGGTTCAAAGATTCTTCTTTCCAATAGACAACTTATTAGAGAAACCTTAACACCTAAAAATTACTAACACATGACAATATTAATAATCAAACTTTTTTTGTTTTCAATCATTAAAGAGTTAATTAATCACCCAGGCCATTTATCTTCCACATAAAATTTGTATTCAGTCCAGTGATCTTAAATCTTAGGTTTCCTTGTAGTCATGCCTTGTTCAACTGCTTTCTATCCTGATATGCAGCAACTTTTGTTTCAGACAAATAACTTCATCAATGAAATTAACTTCTTGAGTAATATGATCATCCTCATGAATCCCCTACCCCAAAAGAAGTCCATTCCTGAAGAATTAGGGACCTTCTGCCAAGACAAACTACTTCTTGCATGCTATAGTATGATGAGCAGAAATTTGAGACACATATTACAGCTATAATGGGAAGAAACCTTCACTTGTTAAGTTTGACGTCTAAACTTCTTCCTCCCAGGTTCATCACATAATATGCATGTGTCTTCATTCTGCAACATCTCTTTGTTTGGCAAATTAGAGCATTACTGGATAAGGTATGATGTCTTGCTCATGTGCCAACATAAATCATTCCTTCAAGGGTACTGTCCATGCTTCATATACAGAGAAATTTTAGCGATCCAGCTATGCTTCTAAGCAATTTGCTCTAAATCATGAAGTGCATCACTCATCGCCAGACTCTTGGATGCATGAGGTCAACCAATGTGGTGGAGTAGGTAATCTAAGCATCTAGAGCTCTTTTATGAGGTATATCCAAGGATGAACAACTGCAGCTTTACTGCTCTACAAATTTAGGTGATTCAGAATCTATAAGCGGTCTTACAAATGGAGTCTAGGCTTCAGGAAATCGGTTAGGTTATCCTTAGAAAGCATATCCAAACAGTTGCTCTAAAATTCAAAAACCTGCGTTCATCATGTAGCAGCACGACACAGTTTATGCCCATATTAGTCCATGCAATAGATTGAAAACAGGTCTTGCTTATGATCATAAATAGGCTAATTCTCGAGGCTATTAAATGTTGAACAGCCACAATCTGAGGCATCTATAATCTCCTTATGACCTTGGATCCCTCAACTTCCATGGGGAACCACGGCAAACCCATCTCAACTCCTAAGCAAATTGTTTGCCAGTAAGACCAGCTCATCCAAGATTGCGATAAACTCTGAAGTTGGAATGGAAACGGTAAGTGGGACATGGAGAGGCAAACGTTATATGACAATATATGTGAAAAAACTTCCATACCTTATGTAAATTTTGAAGGCAGTGAAGTCTAATTTTGTTAATGCTATGTACGAAATACTAATACTTTGAAGGCAAAATTATTGAAACTTTAAATTCTTGGGATGCAGCCCACCCCCCACCCTCATGCTTCCTCTGCATGTATGGCCCAAAGAAAATGCAAAGACAATAGCAATTTCCACTTAAGGCTTCCTTTCAACACATAGCAATTCAAACATATCCAAGATCTGACACCAACGAACATTAGGTAACCAAGGAGTAAAAATGACGTTGATCAAGTTTTGCTCCCTGCTTTGGAGTCTCCCAACTAGACTAGGTGCTTTACAGGAACTCCTGATTCAGCGCATTTGAGAAGCCAAAATGCCTTAAGACAAGGGTGCATGTATGAATCAAACAGTTATGACACGCATTCCCATCATAACTAACATATGCAGGAGCGAAAAGGACTACATAATTCATTACATTACAGATCCTCTTTAGCAAACCACTTTTTAACTATTCTGCTATTTTCCAGAAATTAAGGAAATAAATTTAGCAGAAATCTGTGGCTGTCTGCCACAATTGTGTCCTCATTATATGCACAAAGAAGAAACTTTGCATCAATTTGTAGATGAGATAAGAAGAAAATTTCAAGCAGTAGGAAGAAGACAAAGAAACCATGGCACAGAAAACATAATACAAATGAAGTCGTCCTTCCAAGGTCCTACAGACTGCACAACAATAAGTATTTTTTGAGCTCCATGAAGTTTACATTTATAAGACTACCTAAGCACAAGAGGGCTTTCAATAGCTATGGACATAAAGAAATAGATTAAGATACAGGAAAGCCTATCCAGCTTTTCGTCCACCAGCCAAACAAAAAAGATGGAAATTTCAAACTCTTCTAATCTATCTAGAGATGGATGAATTATCTAATATAATAGATGTGCAACACATTAGTCCAAATACTTGTATAAACATCAATTTCCGAATCATTTGTTTTCAATCAAGTCCCAAAATTAATCTGCAACAGTTTCTGTGTTGCTACATTAGCATAACCCACACAAAAGGAAAACATCAAGGAAAATGCCTGTCCTTTTCCTTCTTTTGCGCAAGGTGCATATTAGCTAAGAGTCCATAACTTTGTAGTTATTGGTACCTTGATGCATATTAAAGACGTACTTCTGAGGTTTCTCTAGCAATTTTATGTTGTAAATGGGTGTGAACTATTTAAGCTTTTCCTTTTATCTCTTTATCCTCTGTAGTTCAGGCAATTAGACTTTGGTAGAATCTGTGTTTTCTCACAAGAATAGGATGGTTAAGAAAGATCAAACTCATTCAAATTGCTTGAAGATGGAAATGGGATTCCGACAAATTTGAGGCTACTGTGTTCAGTGATTTAGCTCTGTGGTTTTTTAGCCCTAAATCTGGATGTCTTGCTGCAAATCCAATTTTCAAAACCATTTACCCATAGATTAAATTAGATGGAATAGGCGCGATGTTATGGTAGTTTGATTACCAATTTGAAATGGGAAAAAAATGAATAACCAAAATGGGAAAAAAATGAATAACCAAAATACAATGACGACTATATGAAAGTCAACCAAAATGAAATTCACGTTGCCAAAAAGAGAATGCATTGTACCTTAATGATTAATCAATAAATAATACCAAAAAAAGTTTGCTTAGGGATCAAATTATTTTCATGAGTGCCTCAAGAATCCAAAAAAAGTTTGCTTAGGGATCAAATTATTTTCATGAGTGCCTCAAGAATCCATATAGAAATTAACTTCGACGGTTGTGGAACCATTGGCCAAGTAGTGTGCTTTAGGCAAATAAGCGTGTTTGAATTACTATGCTTTTGGAGTTTTTGTAAAAAGAATATACTATAACAATTTGATATATGTGAGAGTGAAAAGATGATTAAAAAATATATTCATAGAAAAAGAAAAATTTTTTTGGGGAAAAATTGCAGTCCAAATGAACATTAAATTTTACTTGAACATGAACTATCCTTTCTAAAAAACTTGAACTTGGCAAGGGCCTCAAGCTGGGGAGTATGTGCCCAACACCAGCTGGATTCGGATTCAGATGATGGATTAAAACCCAAGACCTAATTTAGGTGGACTAATCGGAAAAACTGTTAGGGTCTTTATGTATTATGATTAACTTTACAAAACACAGCGATTATGAAAGTAAAGTATAAACAGGATAAGAAAATGACCTTTCAATTCTTTTCTTTCCCTTCATTTGATAATTTCTCACAAAATAATCTTTCAATTTCTCTCGCATCATTTAGCAATACTTTTCTCGTAATTTTCATCTATTATTGTGAAACTTTTTAGCTGTTAATGTTAAATATTTTACAATTTTTAAGATACACAAAGAGCTAGAATTGATTGTAGATTTAGTTTTGATTTGATTTTTTTATTTTTGCATTGCACTAGCAATAATGCAAGATGATGTTCATACGCAAAGCCAAAGAATTTTTCTTTTGTTTGTTACCTTATTGCGGAGGGGGAATAGAATAAAGCAAAAGTTGTTTATATGCAAAGCCAAAGAATTTTTCTTTTGCCTGTTCCCTTCTCGTAGAAGGGGAATTTTTTTGTAGAGGTGGAATTAAAAAATCAAAAGTTGTCTCTTTTTGGTAGAGGAGGAATAAAATAAAGCAAAAGTAGATAACATGTCCTTGTCTTCACATAAATCAGTTTCCGTTTGTAGAGGGAGAATTAGAAAAAGTAAAAGTTATCGTCTTCAGAATCAGGGAATAAAAAAAAAAAAAAAAAAGGCAAAAGTGACATGTCTCTGTATGCTATGCTGATAACTTGTCCTTATCTTCACATAAATCAGTTTCCTGCCATCACCAGCAAACACTCTAACAACACCAATCCTGTTAAAGCTTTTGCTACGTAAGAGTAAAACCATCATTTTGTGCTAGTGAGTTCCATCCATTACAGAAAATATACATCAATCTCATCCAAAATGGCTGAAGCAATCCTGTCCACAATCCTATCCTCTGCGGTAGAAAATATAGGTCAATTGCTTATTGCAGAAGGAAACTTTCTACGAGGTGTTCGCGACCAAGCCAGACTCCTTCGTGACGATCTCAAATGGATACAAATGTTCTTAAGATATGCAGATATGAAACAGACTGCAAGGGGCACTATACAACAGTGGCTTCCGGATTTTAGAGCGGTCGCTGATGATGCAAGTGATTTGGTTGAAGTTTATGCTTGGAGGGTTTCAAGTTCAAGCAACAAAGGCTTCACAAGTACTCTAAAGAGGACTGCTTGCATTGCCAGAGAAGGGTATGCCATTCATGATTTGGGTTTAAAGATTCAAAGTCTCAGAACAAGGATCTCTAATCTCAACAAAAATTTTGGCCGGTATGTAAATTTAGTGACCAGAACGGAGGAAGCAGAGTCGAGCGCTCCATCCAGGCAGCAACAATTAAGGCACACGTACTCCTTTGTGGCCGACGAGGATGTGGTTGGACTGCATTACGATATTGAGATGCTGGTTGAATATTTGCTGA